GCAAGCCCCTTTTGTGCGTTAATTTTTTCTGAAATAAGCCCAGTCAACAAAGGGGTAACCGGCCTTAGAAGGTAAAAAACGGCTAGGGGGCAAAACTGAACATATTTTCCGGTAATTGAGGCATTAATGCACCAAAAATTTGACTTTGGGCATAACCGGTTTATTTGTGTAAAATTAGGGGCTTTTATAGCAAAAACCCATAAAAAAAGTCATTATCCTATCAGTATTATATCTTCATGTTGCATGCTAGGTAGCTAACTTCGTAGTTCACACCAATATAACACAAAACCAATGACATGATATAAGGCTATAGAGAGTGGTAGGTAGCATGTGCTAAAACATTGCGACATCACATTTTTATGGACATCTAAGCATGATATGAAGATATGGAGTGATGATGTGTTTAGAAGGTAAACGCTTTTTTCTTAAATCAAATAATTTTTTATTTAACTCTTTAAATAAAAAACAATAAAAGGATACAAGTTGCTAGAGCTGAAGTTACAAGTATTTAAAACTGAAATAGTCAAATCATCGAATGGGGACCACATGTGTTATTCTCATTCTTCTGTTTCATCTCGCCAAGGAACTGGCTAGCAAATCTTAGCGTAGTTGCTTAGCGCATGGATAATGAGTGGTAGCAAGGTATGGTACCAACATATGAGTATGTACGATGGTTTTTAGAAATGGAGGTATCTTGGTGAGAATGTATGGTAACATTAGACAAGTTGGGGGGGGGGGGGGGGCTGCATGACATTCCGTGATTGGTTGGAAATTAGGGCATCCTCTTAATTAATTATGGATGGTCCTGACCTATTAGAATTAGGGTTTCCCATGTTTTCCTGTAAATATGTTCATATCCTCATCATTGTTAGTTGCTAGATTTCTGTGAGAGATCAAAGTGAGATAGAATTTTTGAGTGTTTGTAATTGTTTCAGAAAGTTAATAAAATAATCTCTCTCTCTCTCTCTCTCTCTCTCTCTCTCTCTCTCTCTCTCTCTCTCTCTCGGACGCAGGTCACATTGACTGAACCATGTTAAATATTGTGTTCTTTTGATTTAAGATTTTTAGAAGTTTTATTCCGCGAGTTTCACCGAAGTTTGTTTGACTTTTGTTGGATTTTTTGTCATCCCAACACACATCAAATTCCTAAATCATTTTGCCACATCTTTAATCATGATATGCTCGGACCATATGGGATGTTAGTTTTTTATTATTATTTTTTTTATATTGATTATGTTAATATTTTTTGCATAGAAATGTGATTTATGTATGATAAAAAAGAAGTCATTCTCCTATCATCATTATAACTTCATGTTGCATGCTACCTAGCTAACTTCATAGTTCACACCAATATAACTCAAAACCAACGATATTATATAAGAACAAATAGCCAACAAGTCTGATAAACCTATCATTTGTATAACTGCCTACGTAAAATGATAACATAAAACCAAATAACGTTACCAAGATGAGCCCCGCCTTTGTTATGAAACGTAGAGTCATCAGTCCTACTCAATTGCTCTCAAATCAGAAACAATTGCCGTGTAAAAAGGGTATCAAATTAAAGGAAAAAAAGCATATGTATGTTGACTTTCATCCACCTTCTAGAGCACAATTTTGGATTTTAATTAGTGCCCATTTTTGGCCTGACAATTGTTCACTGACATTTATTCTGAAAAGCTATGTATCAAGATTCAAGATGGCTCCTTGAACATAAAATATTTTATTCCTTACAAATGCAAGACGCTGCTTTCTTGTTTCCCTTAAAACGCTCCTACTTGTTTTACCCTTCACTATTTTTATTTTATTTTTTATTTTTTTAAAAATTTCCTTTGTACCGGATCTAGCAACATTAAACCTTAACTTTTTGTCCCATCCAAATTCCATTTCAGTTTCTCAAAGGCTTTGACAAACATTTTAATTAGTTTCTTAAAGGCTTTGACAACATTAACCCTGATAATATTGCGTAGTCGAACCTTTTACAAAATGCATTCCTATTCCTTGCCACATAAACATCAATGACCACTCCGTGCTGACAGACTAAATTCCACAACATATTTTCGTCTTAATTAAGGGAAATTATAGGAAAAAGTGTTTGCAGCTAGATCACCCAACAAGTTATCATCTTTCTCTGATTTCCTACTTATCTTAAAACTCTTAAACTCTTCTTCCATCTCTATTAGCTTGATATCTTTTTGACTCACCTGCCACTCACCAATAATCCTCCTAATGCATAATTCACCTTATTTTAATTTCAACCTTATTATGGAAATAAGTATTTCTAGTGATGTTTTTATATTCTAACAACAATTAATTAATACAAACAAACAAAATACAAGTATTGTCTTATGACTATAGTTACACGAAGTGTCTATCTTCATGCATGAAATGTTGGAGACACCGACAATTTCATTGTTTCATCATCTATGCCTCCACAGTTTCATGATTTTTTAAACTATTTTGTGCACAACGTTATTTGTGAAATCTTGTTTACATGGGAAATTTACGAGCTCGACGTGTGTGAATTTATAACCATGCTTTTTTTTTTTGTAAACTCTTAGAGTGCATTGAAGTTTTTGATCTATTGATTGATTCTCACATGAATTTTAGGTTTTCATTGGGCCATTTTAAGAAAAGGGGAAAGCTTGCTATAATAAGATATGTAAATAATTATGAGCCCTTTGCTAAGAAGAAAAATGAGGCCCTAAATAAAAATTTTTAATATATAAGGAAAACAAACTTAAGACGGTGAATTGTCGTTACGGAAAACTTAAAAGTAAATAAATTAATTAAAAGGGAACATATGGAATTTTATAAAACGTTCAAGGGTTAATTATGTACCTTCTGAAAATTGATTTGTTAAATATATTGGAAGGAGGGGTTGATTATGAAATATATATAGCATAAAGTAATGGCCAAAACTATAACTTGAATTTAAAACATCAAAATGTTGTGCACAAGATTCGAACCAATTACGTTGATTCGAAATAGAGGATGCGCTTATGCCAATTGGGCTACCTAAACTTTGTGCAAAACCTTGAATAAATTCATATATATTTAGTTATTAAATATATAATTTAATTAAAACTTAGGCCCTATTTTTTTCGGGACCATGTGTGGCTGCACCTCTTGCCCCCCCTTAAAACCGGGCCTGGAGATAAAAGTATGTTGATATTATGTGTACGAAATGAAAGTACATTGCTATATATTATGTAAAAGAATTGCAAATACGATGCTATTACCCGTATAGAAAAGTATGTTTTTTGGAACGGCGTAAGGAAAAATAAGTATGTTGCTTTTGTGTAAACAAACATAAATAAGATACTATTATGGGCGAATAAAGTATATGTTATGAGTTTTAGGCTACATATTAATGTTATTGCTTTATAGGTGACACTTGTAAGAGTGTTGCAATTATAGGTAACAATTTTATGTAGCAACATACCCTATTGTAAATTTTATAGTAGTGGTCAATGTTGATAGTATTCAACCTTTACTTTTATTAAAGGGACAAAATATCAGGTTTCCCTAGCTTGTATTTTAATGATAAACAACATGAATGTATGGTTGGCGTACACAACTGTCATGTTCACCTTAATAACAAGTCCATCACAATGCACATACAAAAGTTGAAAGCTTATCTAGTTCCTTCGGTATGACCTCTTATCCAAGGCATGATGAAATTAAAAGCCATCGTGAGGATATGGATGGACCACATACTATCCATTCTATCTTATTTTGCTCTATCTGTTTTCGTTTAGGGAGTACTTTTGCTGTAATTTCTTACAGCATGACATCAAGGTTAATTATGTTCATTCTATATTCGGTATCACAAAAATGAGATTTTTAAATAGTTAAAATAAAGGAATGAAACTTTGATACCTCATCAACTCATTGTCTGTTATCATTATGACTTCACTTTATGACCACGTATATGCATATATTTCAGTATTGGTGCTTGTTTAGTTCATATAGAAACTGTCAGTGTTATAAACGAGCTAGCTTCACCAATATCTCAAAAACCAGCAATAGAGAGCAAAAATGTCTGTTCAAATCAACCGATCACACATTTAATTTTGTGTGAAGTATGATGATTAAAACCAGCTAGCTTCACCATGATGAGAGCTACGTACCAGGACCCAAAATAATTAACACTGCCTTTCTAACAAAAATAAATGTCTTGAATTTATTACAGAAAATGACGCTAGCTAGAAAACTCTGAAACAATTGCCGTATGAAAAAGGGTTTCTAATTAAAGGGAAAAAAGGATTTATGTCAAGGCTCATCCAATTAATACTCGTTAAAGCACAATTTTGGATTTGTATGCCGGACCAATATTTTTGTCTCACAAAAACTTTAGATTGAAATACATAACTAATTGACACCAATGAACATGGTTACTTTCCAAATTCTTCAACATGATCAGATGTAGTTGGAGTGAGACATATAAAAGGGATCTTTATACCATTACCTACAAGTTAGAATGAATCATTGTTACTGTTAGTGTGTTTATTGAAGGAGACCATATTTTACCATTACAAAATTCTACTTCTTTCCAAATTTCCAAATTTCTTTTATTATAAGATAATATTCTATGTTGTTTTAAAAAAAAATGATTTTATTGTCGAGAATATATAGATTTTAGTAAAGATAAATTTGTAATTTCATAATAATGTCAAAATTTGGAAACTTTGCTTGTAAATTATCCTAAATTAACAAAATCTTAATTATATGAATAATGATAAAAATAATTACTGTTATTGTTGTTTTATCGCTTTTTATTAACTAGCTACGCATAATTCACGACAGACAAATGTGATTCCATGTCTATAGAATACCGCTGAAATGATATTTGTTGACTTTTAAACAAAGAAAATAGGTGGTTCACTAGCTCTTCTTACTCCTATAAATAATCCAACACATGCGTGACATATTCACTCATCCTTCTCTTCCACCATCTCCCCTCTCCATATACCGAATAAATCCATAGCACTGCAGTCATGGCAACAAGACTTCTCTTTGCTTCCGTACCCAAAGCCCACCCGAAGAGTACCAAACCATCACAACACCGCACCCCATTTTCTGCAGTTGCAGCATCCCGTTTTCTACAGATCTCGAGACTTCATGCTTCTAAAACTCTCGAAACAATATACGAAGAAGAAATGACTACAGGCAGTGAAAGCAGAGATGGTGTTGCAGATGTATTTACAAGTGCTTCACCTTTGCCTTCAGTTTCTGCCTCTTTTTTGCTATCTAGCAGGTCGACATGCTTAGTTAAAATGCAGAAACACTTATCTAAGAACTTTGATAACTTCCGATCATGTGCTTATGGTAGTAATTAGTATTTATTTCTATTGTTGGGTTATATTTAAAGGGTATACGTTGGAAAGGTTAGAGTATGTTGGAGAAGGCTATCAAGAACTATTGAAGGGTAAATATTGTTCAGTTCATTAAGGTGGTGTTGTGTGTTTTAGCTAATTTGTGGCTTCATTTCTTGTTGGTCTTGCATCGCTGGTCATCCTGCTGAGGGGTTATTTTAGGGATCTCATCATATGACTATTTTGTTTAGAAACCCTTCTTGGAGCTATGTTTGGGGGAATAGCTTTTTGGTTCCCTCGACTTTTTCTTTCTTTTTTCGTGTCTACTATTTTAGTTTCGTGCAGTTGCTTCTTCTATATATATAATTTGTAATCTTATGCAACAAAGTCGGATTGTCTAAGTGCCATTTCCTTGTATTGGTGCATGCACAACCTTTTAAATCTGCAGGGTATAATTTAATGGAAGTTTATTGTTGTAAACGTGAATTTCTTATAAGACACTCTTGATTATTTTTGCATACAAGTCCTTTTTCCTTTTCGGGTTCTTTCTGTTCATGGATGGCATCCCACCAAATATACTATTTTGTTAACCATGTAATTTTGATCATAAAAGATATAACAATCATTTAATAATGAAGAGGTGAATTTGTTGAAAATAATATTGAAATAGAGAACAATATTTTTTGTTTTTAATTAATCCGTCACTCCACTCAATATAACAATTCAACTTTTGCCTTTCATTTACTATTTATATAATTTATTTTAGTGTCGAATTAGATTTCTTTTTAAAAAGATCAGTCTTCATGGAACCAAGTCCTAGAGGCCAGGGAGATGTTTGAGGTGAAACCGACTAAGAGCTAGACTTTTCATGTTTGAGTTGTGGATGTTCAAAGACCTGTTGATCACAAAGAGAAAACTGGGTCATCTGCAATCCGGTAGCATCTCGGGATTACGTTATGAGAACTTTAAAGAGAATTTGGTGTTGAGGAGGAGAAAATGTTTGTTACAAGGTATGATTTAATTATGTTTCTCTATCGTGTATATTTTTTTGTAGGTGACCTTGGGTGGCGCGATCTCTTACTAGAATTACGCGAGACTCTTTTGGCGTCACCCTTCGGGTTTCAAACTCGATTGTTGTTGTGGTTGCTCAACCCTGATATATGGTGAGATTATTCATACCAGAGTGAGGGTTTGATATAGCCAAATGCTAAGTCCCTCCAATTTGGTATCAGACTTATCTTATCCAAATAGAGACAATGATTTTTCTGTTAACCGACTATTTGTTTTCGGGCGCTGATATTGCCACGGCTATCTTTGATGCATCCATTGAAAAAATCTGTAATTGACAATTATGCCCCTGTTTACTTTAAATAAAGTAACCCTATTTTTGCTTCATAAAACGCAAACCCGGATAGTAATTGCTACTATAAAGAACACAAACCCGGATAGTAATTGCTACTATAAAGAATTATTGACTGAAGTAAATTATATGTTTGAAAACATCTTTGTATTCCCATCATGAGCGCACATCCCAACATGCAACCGTCGTTCTTCTGATGCTGGTGTCTTCACTGCTTCAAGGTGCGTTCACAACTCAAGAAAAGAAAAAATCACTCACCATTGCTCCGTTGATTAAAGCTTCTAATAAGGGTACTTGAGTCGTTGAAACGAATCTGCTGCAAGCCAAGGCCACCGTTAATTTCTGGCTACCATTTATACCGATGGTGTTTGATGAGAAGAATTGGCCGAATCAGTGCCGACTGAGGAAGAAGCATAGTCTTTTGGAGTTTCCAGGCGTCATTATATAAAGAATCGATAACAAATGAACCTTTGCAACTTCTGTTTTCAAAGAAGCATCCCATCTCGAAGGCCACTTTATATCACTCAAAGCAAAGGAGACCTCATAAGTAAACTACCTTTTGTCACAACCATGGTGACAGAAGCACGGTCACATTTGATTGATTTTGAGTATTTCCTAAAAGTTTTAATATCTTATAACAAACTAACATGGTGATTCATGCTGGTTGAACTTCAAAACCCACCATCATGTAGCCTTTCTTTGTTCGTTTTGTTGCCATGTGTGATTATTCAGCACCATCACCATTCCCAATGATGCTGTTTTGTTCACTGTTCATGAGCTAAAACTCTAAAATTCAAATGATTGAAGACATATTAAACCAATTTAACTTTGATTCCGATGGATGAGCATCGGAACCGGCCCGGCCGGAACCGACCCGGACTTGAACCGAACTTGATGGAAAATAGGAACCGAACCGAACCGCCGGTGCTGCCGGTTCTTGTCGTGTCTTCAATGTTGGAACCAGTCATCGAGAAATAGCAACATACGGTTCCGGTTTTTGCTAGTTCTACCGGTTCCCGGTTCCAAAAATCCACAAGAATATCGTCTCGGTCCTAGCCCAATCGGTTATATCTGGTTTCGATCGGTTCCCCGGTCCACATGCTCATCCCTAGATGGGATACCCAATTCATCGTAGACTATATCCATCTTTTTTAGTGTACCGAATTGTAGGAATATTATCAATAGTCAAGTTAACCTGATACATTTTAGTTGATTCTTTCTCTTATAAAGTCTTGAATACATCAGTTGATAACGGATATGATTTGCATTAAAATATCACACTTTCATTCTTCAACATTTTAAACCTGTTGTCACCTGTAAGGTAAGTTTTCGATGAGTTTCGATCTGCCATCAAAGGCCCACTTATGTTTTCCGCTCTATCTTTTGTGCCTTCAGGAGGCTTCTTACAGAAGGGTAAATATATTACCTATAAGGGCATCCACAATGCATTAAACTTATTAGAGTTTAATGGATCGACACATCATTATTTTAGTTACTATACAACGCTACAGTAATTTTTCTACAATGCATTGAACTCAATAGAGTTCAATGGAATATATATTTAATAGTTAAAAGGTTTCCTTTTTCCCATTGAAGAGTTCGGTGGCCATCGAACTCCATATCCATTGAATGCCGACATGGCATCCCACAATGGTAGAGTTTAATCCATTGAATGTTAATTAGGCATGCCACCTTATTCAACTCTCCTATTAAACTATGCATTGTGGATTCTCTAAGGAATTTATGTATCTACTGAGATCAGTGAATTGACTTTTATATATAAGATTACCCACGTCGTATTCTATTGGGGAAAGTAACAGCCGAAGATCATGCGTTTGTTGAAACATAGATTGGTATTTCTCTCTCTCTCTCTTTAGTAAAGAGGGGCATAATTGTCAGTCTATATTTTTTTCAGTGGAAGCATTAAAAATTGTCGTGCCAATATCACCTCCCTTTGTTTTCAGTCTTGTCGCTAGTCTTGCCGCTGCTATGACAAATGTGCCACATGCATGTGTTAATTATCGTAATAGGAGATTATGATTGCTCGATGTGTGGTTTAATATACTAAAATTTGATCAAAGTTTCAAAAATTATAAAATTAATTTCTCCTCAACTAGACTAAACACACTAGACAATGTACTTAATCATGTAGTAGTATAGTTATGACATGACCATGTGTCGAACACTAAAGAAACGGGTATGTGTTGATTCAGATAAAATTAAACTATAAACATAAAATAAAGGGGAGGGTCAGGGGGTGGTTTGTTTTTAATTATCTTAAATTCGATTTCATTATTAATTAAGACAAACAAACTGAGCAAGGAATTTGATTAAAACAACAATTTTGAAGTATTTATGCTTAGATTCTGAATCCCTCTAATTTCCTATGGTCAATTTATTAAAAGTGCTATGAATTTAATAAAGTTGATTACCGATTTATAAAGTGATCAAAAACCTTGGTCAGATTAACTAATACTAATAATTATTTAGCAACTAATTTAATGATCTCGCAATTAGCTACTGTAACACTCGAATTTAGGTAATATTCTTTTAAAAGTTTAATTATCTTAAGTTTTGAATTTGAAGATGTTGACTGAACGCGGCGCGGTGGTGGAGATCCATCGCGGCACGACCACGTCATAAATTAGCGACATGGTCAGGTGTCCACTGCGGAGCGGTTACGGCTGGGCTTAAAACCCTAAATCTTGGGCCTTGTGCTATATTTAAGCAATGGGATGACTAAGGTTTCGTCTCATTCTCAACCTCCACCCTCCTGAGAGAAAACCTAGTTGTGTGTGTGTGTGTTCTTGGTGTCTTAGTGTGTGTTTGCTTGGTGTTTCAAGATCTTTAGTGCTATTGGAAAAAGAATGAGGTGGTCATTGTTTGTTGTTGGAGTTGGTTGTTGTTGAGAGCTGATCTTCAAAGCATTCCATGCTTCTGCAAGGTATAAAGCTTAAACCTTTATCCTTATTTGGTTGGTAAGCATGCTCAGATGTCCCTTTATGGTCTTTGGAGGAGGATTCTTGGATTTTTGAGAAACTCCAAGACCTTGGTTTAAATTAGTGATGGTTTTTGGACCTTATGGTCCTATAAAGTCGAGTGCTTGCACTCAACTCAGCCATGCAAAGTCTTCTTGGTCATTTTGGTCCCTTTTGGTGTTAGGTTTCAAGATCTAGGTCATTAGAGGTTGAGGGATGGATGAAGTTGGAATCTCTATCCACGTATGGCTTAAGTCGATTCAGATCTAAGCTTTTGAGCTCTGGAGTTAAGGGTTAAGAGCTTAATAGATTAAGCTGTCTGGGACATAAACCGCGGTGCGACTATGGTCTGGCCAAGATGTGGTGGACTGATAAGTCCCGCAACTGTTTTGTCCTTTAGCAACCATGACACGACCAAGGGGATTAGCCGCGGTATGGTGGTCGGTGTTGGTTGATCGTTGACTTTGACCGTTGATCATTAACTTTTTAACTAGTTTTACTTTTAGTCAAACTTAGGAGGTTGAGTAATAGACTGAGGTTGGACCTCTGTTTGGTTTAGGTAGTGTGTATAGTTGATTCGACATGACCGTGAGGATGGTCTTTTCAGTTCTTGATTCATGTGAGTCTTCTCACTATATTGTAGGACATTGAGTGTCAAGTTGTGATTCTTGTCTTTGTGACTCTTG